AAAAAAAAGAAAACAGAACGTTTAACTTAGCGTAACGTCATGTGGGGGAGGGGGTGGGGGTTCATGTGCACACCAGGGGTGCTTATAGGGGGATTCATGCTGACGTCATTGTTCACATTGTTTACATTTTTGCTCATTTGCATACGGTTTTGCGTACAGAAGGAAACATGTTAGATATGAATTGACTCCAGGCAGCTAAAGAGCTAAAGAAACTTAATACATGGTGAAATTTTGAGCTCTTTGGGTGTAATATTCAAGGAGATATTGTCTTTCAAAAACTGCAAAATTTCTGGGCGACAAAAACAGTAATGAGTTCATACATACTTGGTCAAATTTTAAGTTTTCAGACCCATGTTGCACAAAAAGTATTCAATTAATCAGGCTCATATTAATTGGTGGAGTTAATCGTACTATGGCCTTTCAATATTCAGAACTGATTCATATGTAGCTCCATCAGAAACTGAATTGCTTATGCTAATGAAGCAAATATTGTAAACAAGGATTCTCCTATTCGGCTCCTGATTATAAGCTAATTCGTGTATTTAATTTTGATTGCTGTTTTGCAATTTTTCAGTGAGGCTTATGTTTTTTTTAAGTTTCAGATTGGAGGACCAGCTAGACAAAGATTCTGTTCTCTTTCTGCTCGGTGGTAGACGAGAGGGAACCTCTGCTCGCAGGGTAGACTATGACTAAACAAACTCTACTAAACATAAACAGTGAAACAGAAAATTAAAACCCGTGGTGCGAAGATCTATTTCACTCCATCAATATGCTTTTAAAAATACCTTGCGTAGATATTTAACATGCCACCGTTCATCAGTAGAAGTGTCTGTCCCTGATTGGGTTGAGTTATAACCAAGTTGTCTCTTTGATGCCAAGACATACTTTGTGCTAGTGATCCCAACACAAGGACAAGAGACACACAGCTACGCATGGCCCCATGAATTCCTCAAGGAACGACAACATGAAGGAGCTGGAGACAAGAAAACTGGTCAACACTCTGCATAAAAAAATATTAGACTTCTAAAGCATTATCCTTTAAAACTTCACACTTAATTATGATTTTCCCAAATAAAAACCAGGAACAACGACCGAATCAGCACTAAAACAAACAAGCAGAAAGCAAAGAATCAACTGCTGTGATTTTTGGAATGAGACTAAGAAAA